CTATTTCCGATTCCTAAGAAAGATAACAGGTTGTGCTGCCACAATTGCCGAGGAATCAGCCTACTAAGATATCTCTGGAAAATTTTTCGCTTCCTTTCTGTTAAATAGACTCGAGATCTCATGTGGGATGAGGTTATGCTGACCTGATATTTAGGCTAAGAATTGCGCTGGAACATCGCTTCAAATACCACCAATCCAGTTATTTGTTTTATCGATCTTGCAGTTGCATCCGATTCGACTGATAGGGCAGCTCTCTGGAAAGTGATGGAATGTAACGGTGTCAAGAGAAGATCATTCGGCTCATAAAGGCATTTTATCAGCATACCCTGGTGCAGATCTATGGAGAACTGGAAGACTCCTTCGAAATAAAAACTGCTGTCTATCAAGGATGCGTCCTTTCCCCGACAATATTCATAGACTGGATAATGAGCATCGCTTGTCGGTACTCAAGAGACGTGCAAATCAGACCAGCGCATACCATCACAGACCTTGAACACGCTGATGTAGTCCTTTTTGCTGACAGTTCTAATGCAGTGCAAATAAATACTAAACAACGTGTTGACTTCAACGAGAATTGGTCTAAATGAAATGAAACAAATAGAAAGATAAAACAAAAGTGTTTTCGTCTTATATACAAGAGGCTGATAAAATACCTATTTTTATCAATTCAATGCCAATTGAGAAAGTGCCCCACTTTAAATGGATCCACTCTAATCCCAATTGGTCAGGCAAAGGCTGAAATTTTAACCCGGATAACGACAGCTAGAAATGTTTTTCCGGTTGATGAAACCTTTATGGAATCGTCGCGAAATTACCACAAAGACGAAAATCGGTGTCCGTATAACTGCAATTCCCTCGATTTTGCTATATGGCTGGTAAACGTAGCTAGTGAGAGTGGAAGATATTAATAAGTTATAAGCTTTTGGCCACTCATGTCTACGATAATGTTACGGATCACTCGAGCAGATAAAATCGCACATAACTCCATCCATCTTCGCTCAAATATCACCTGTATTAATAATGCTATCACAGAACGTGGCCTTTCCTTTGCTGGTTAAGCCTGTTCTCCGTCATTCACCACAGGAGTTGATATTTCGTTACTTGCTAAACCTTGTGATGGTTGGCGCCAAAAGCGAGGAGGACCAGTCAAGACCGGGACTGATAGAATCAGGAAAGATTTTGAACGTATAAAGAGGCCAGCGATATATGGACTTAGACGATGGTAAAAGGAATGACCAGTAACGATAGTGTGGGATCGAGCAGCTTGGAGTCGTCTTATCCTTATAGCCAGCGGAGCCAATCTAGCTAGAAATGGGTAAGAGTTGTTAGAAGAAACAAAGAAGATTCATATGAATGATTCTTCACTCATTTCACTTTTTTGGCAATCAAATTTTATTATTTTAACCATTTTTTCCACTTTATTTATTCGTTTTATATTCCGAGTAAATTAATTGTTTGCAAAAAATAATTAATTATATAAATGAATTTACTTAAAAATTTGTCGTCAACGAAATTTTTAATAAATTTTATTGATATTTGTTTTATTTTATTTCTAAATTTTATTTAAAGATATGATAAAATATTAAAATATTTTTCTTAATGCAATGAATTAATTCAAGAATAGATCGATTATAATATTATTTAACTATAAATATATTTAAAATAGATTTATTAAATAAAAAAATTATGCATTAAAAACATTAGAAATCAGAATAGCCGAAAAAGCTTAACATAAACCAAAACCATAAATTCAAAGGCGATCAGCCTAAAACACTTATCATATCAAAACTTATCATCAATTGAATTAGTCATTTTTTTCTTTTCTTTTATTTTTCATTTTATGCGTTTCGTTGGTACTTTTATTGCAAATTTTTGTTGTTGTTGCGAAAAATAGATTATAGACTATAAAAAAATTTTAATAATTTTTCGTTAAATAAAAAGGTTCAAGAAATACGGGTTAAAAAATTATTTATTAAAAAAATTTATGATGATATTATCAACTTATCAACTTTTTTAATTATCAACTTTTTCTTCTAATAATTCGGACCATTGTTAATTCGCCTTATTTTACTAGCGACTAGAGTAAGATAAAAGATTTTTAATTTAATTTCACCATAATTTTTGAAAAAAGTACATGGTGATAGCTTATCATTATGGCTATAACAGCTGTATAAAGATAGCTTATCAATATGCATCAAAGCAATCATAATGAAGTTGAAAATTTTATTGCAAAATTCACTTATAACTGAATGATTGATTAATTGGTAATTAATTAAATGAATAAAGATATTTAAAAATATTTGAATTAATAATTTGAAATATTCGAATTATAAAGGTTTTGCAATTTATTTATTTTATCGGCTTTCCTTTTTTTTTTTTATTTTATTTTAATTCATCGAAAAGAACGGTAATATTTAGTTATTTTTATTTATTTTAAAAAATTATCCAAAATTTGCAAAAATATTGAAATTTACTATTGTATAAAAAAATAAATGAAGTATTTTAAATCATTATCGTAATATTTGTCGAAATTATCTTGCTGATTTATCGCTCACATAAATTGATAATCTCCAAGAAAATCACAATAGGTGAAGTAATTATCAATTGTCATATATCGTCCTAATTTGTCGTCGTAATTTCACCGAATTATCAAAAATTTAAAATATTTGTGGATACGACAATTATGTTTGTTCGAAAATAATACAATTTAATTGGGTTAATTCGATAGAAAAGTGAATAGACAAATTGCAATCGAGTTTTTCATTAAAATTTTTACTGTAAAATACGAAAATTTTACCACAATCTTTTCTTTTAATCCTTATCATTTTATCATTCGAAAGAGAATAGAAAAAAAAATTTATTCCGCGAAAAAATGACCGATCACTATTTTATTTCAGCATCTTAATTAACAAAGTTTAACATCCCATGCCATGCATTATTTATCATAAATTATTCTCTTTTTAAAAAAAAAAAACAAAAACTGGAATATTTGACTGATGAATATCATTTTTAATTGGTTGATTATAATTTATCGTTTATCGTTTATTGAGATTTTATTATTGACATTTATTGCGAACAACTCAAGTGGTTTTCATCGAAATTGCCCAAAATAACCAATTAGAAACATTGCAGTCAAATGTTGCAGTAGGATGGTGATAATGCAAGATGCTCACGCTTGAAAAAAACCGAATCAATTTTATAGTCGTAGAAGATTTTAGCAGAGAACTTTTGCCTCATTAGCCCTATAGCACTGAAATTGCCTTTTCCAGTGTTCATTTGTTCAGATCTCTGCCATCTCTGCCACTTAATATTTAGGGAAAAAAAATTCATTCCTTTGATGATCTAAAAAAATAGCTTTGAAGAATATTTTAAATCTATGGATGCAAGCTTCTTCGAAAAAGGAATTCATAAATGAACTTGTGTCAAAAGATAGGAGAAAGTTGCAGAAAACAATGGTGTTTTATCAATATTTCCCGAAAATTTCCCGATATTTCAGCTTGAATTGTTGATTAAAATACATTATTTTTTGGAAAAGCTAATAAAAATACCTTACAATAATTTCATTCCTTAAGTTAATGCTTTAGGAGTTTAGCTTTTTACCCTTTATAGTTTCATTTATTCATGCATGAATAATAGCTGGCTTATCGTACTCGGCAACTATGCTAGGAGCTAGAAAGCTCCTTGGCGAAAGAAATGCAGGTGAATCGCCGACATTACCCAGATCATTGGATAAATTTACAATAATTTAAAGTCGGATGACGCTGATAACAACTATACTTCTGTCGTTAAGCGACTTTTTGACAAAATTTTTCTGGCCCTGCAAGTTCGGCGAGTCTAACCAGAAATGGTGAGAAATGGTAGTTCGTAAAAAACTGATGGGAATGTTCAATTGAGCTAGTTATTTTTTTCAACAGTTTTAATATCACTTCTGATAATACCACTTTCAATAATGAAGCAACGCCGTTTGTTTTTGCGCTTCTTTATCGAATCCGCATAGCTCATAGTGATATTTTTCAAGATAATCACATTAAATATAAGGCATATAAGATTTTTCCGGACTTTCCGGATTTTTCGGATCTTCTGGAAAACTATATTAATAATTATAGAAAAAATATTTAGATATATTAATATTTATTAATATTTTTTTGTATTGAAAGCTCATCTAAATTTTTCAATTTCTACGTTTAATGTCAAGTTGACTTTAGTCAAAACGAATCCAGGAAAAGACTAGTAAATTTGTACCAAAGATGATTGTTGGAATAAAACGCATACTTATTATTTTTTAGCCAATGCAATATAAGGATTGGTAGGCTTACGCCGTAATATATTTTAACATGATTAAGATGTTTAACATGATTAACATTGAAAATATTTAATATGTTCAAAATTTTAAGGTATTTTTTAGATTAGTTTTTAGATTTAGCAGACCAAATAAGATAAAATTTTATTCTTTAGCGAGGTTTAAAATTCTTGTTATGCGAAAAATTTTATTAGCTTTTTCATCGACTTTGCTACCCATTCAATTTCTACCTAATTTTTCACAAAAAAGAAAATGATAAATGATAATAACGAATTCCTTTTCTTGACAAATAAACTATTTATATCAGTGATCGTCAAACTTTTTTTTCCACGGATCCTCTTTTATGGTACCGTAAAAACCCCACTATTGCGATTCGCAGTGCTTAAAATATTTTTTAAATTTTTTCCACTATAGAATTATTGCATTTGTTGTTTTGCATTAAGAATATGTATAATTCGAATTCGAATCTTACGCACCAATTAAGAATCGTCATAGAGTCCAGAGGATCCTTAGAGATCATTGACGACCAATAATTTACATTATGATTTTATTTACTGAAGATGAAGATGAAAGGAAACTTTTTTCAATTTTCAATAATATTCGAATCGATTATCGAAAAATTTTAAAGGTCATTTTAAGAGATTCGATAATTGATTAATAAGAAAATTTTTAAAAATTTTTATCTAAGAGATCATTAATTCTAATTTAAAGGAACCCATCTATTACCATCGAAATCTAATTGTGACGCTGGTGAATTACCAAAATCATTCGAAGCTAAAACGACAATTTCCTCTGCACCATTGATTCGTTTATCAGTATTTGATATTGAACGCATTTCCCATGAGATTGCAGATTTACGTTTCCAATAGATATAATAGATATCAGCTGTATCGACTCGATTCCAACTTACTAATGTTGTATCACCAAATGAATTTGCTTTAAGACCGGTCACCGGTTTTGGACGCTTTTCAGCATTTTGCATTCGACATTCGAATATCGAAAATGTATGCAATGCACAAGTAAATGGAATTTCATTTCCAGCTTCTAATGTTTCATCACATAATGGAAGACAAGCATTTGGTACTTTATTTCGTAAGCAACATTCGCCTTCGTCAATTCCCGCAATAGTACAAGATAAAAATTTGCCAATTTCATCATCACATTGATTATTCATGAAGGTTTCTGCACGTAGAACACCACGTTTACCAGCTTGCGTACCACATATAGATGCGCAAGGTGATCGAATATTTTGACGTTGACAACACTGATAGGGAAGTTCAGGTGGAATTGGTGAAGCGAAAGTAACTTTACGTATCGATAATTGAATATTAGAGCTCGAAGTACCAAAATCATTCGAAGCAATACAACGATATGTTCCGAAATCCGAGATTTGTAAAGGTTGAATATGAAGAGTGGAAACATAAAGACGAGGTTGTCCATGAGAACTAATATAGTTTGTTAATGAATATCTATTTCCTGATAAAATATAATATTGCCCATTTTTATCATTACGCTTCATCCATTGAATATGCGCACTTGTGTGCATTGTTCCAGGTATTTGCATTCGGCAAGCAAGTGTAACAAACTCAGATTTACGTGATATTGATACGTGTTGTTTATACGCACTAATACGAGGAGCAACGCCAGCAGTATAAAAATAAAGTATATCAGACAATAATGAACGCTGAATACCGTCTCGACTTACTGCCGCAACAGCAACTGAATATTTACTATCCGCACGAAGTCCGGTTAATGTAACTTTTGTCGATCGAGTATCAATAGTCATTTCGGTGACACCATTATCCGATTCACGACAAACAACATGATAGGAATATGCAAGATGTGGATTACTTTCCGGTGGTGACCATGTAAAAACCGCTGATGTCATATCTTTTGAAATAATTCTTGTAGCAGTTGGTGGTGATGGAATATTCAAATAACCACGCTCAAAACATTTATACATTGTTGCAATATTAAGCGCTAAACATGTTTGATAATTATCCCATCTTTCCAGATTATTTAGGCCCTCACCAGCGCAAAGGCCGAAACATGCATTTTCATCGCGATCTTTCGCATCATTTATACAGCAATAAATATGATTACGACCATCCGCTAAACATTCGGCAATATTTTTCATATGCGGCAAACAATTAATTTTATGATCAAAAATATTATATACATCGAAATCATTCGGTGGTTTAGTTGGATCGCATAATAAATTACTGCATGCTTCGGAAACGCCACGACGATGACAGCACATACTTACCGTTGATGCATAAATAATGTGAAGAACAAAATGAAGGATAATGGCGAAAATTAGTAGAAAAGAGTACATCTTAAAATACACGACGACTGGCGACTTTCGACGTCTTATGATAATATGATAATGGCCTTTATTCAAGGTCTCTTCGTAATGAATCAAAAAAAAGAAAAAAAATTTTACATGAGAAATTTTAGTTGATAAAAATTCATATCTTAAAAAATAATTTCCAGTAATTTTTTGAGTTGATTTGATTTTTTTTCAATAGTCGAATTTTATGGCTATTTTCAGCACGGGCGATTAGCGACGTTTCATAATTTCATAGTTTCATAATTTTTATAGCGATAAAATATCGCAAAAAATTAAATTCGATGATTATGGAGACATCGCCAGAATCAGTCAAAAACCAGTAACCAGATGATCGATCTTACAGAAAAAAAAATTATAACCTAGAAGAAGGTTTGAGTTACCTTTTGTTATTTGCAAATAGGATATTTGTTAAGCTTGGAATCGCTTCAACCAAACATTTCCTCATATGAAAATAATTATCAAAAAATTCAATATCCTATTTTCGCTTGTAACATCGATCTAGTTTTGCTCCAAAATCTTCCCACAACTTTTCCTTTAACTCGAAGCTCTACGAACAGGAAAAAATTATCATACTCAGAGTTGATTATAAAGATAATAAAAAAACATACCATTATATCATAAATTTGATTGCCGGCAGAGGAAGTGCTTGATTTTAAATATCTTGGACCCACTCTAATCCCAAATAGCCAGGCAAAGGATGAAGTTGTAACCCGGATAACGAACAGTTAGAAATATATTTTTCAGGCTGATGAAACTTTTATGAAGCCGTCGTGAAATCACCATAAAAACGAAAGTCCGCAACCATTTAGCCGTGCTTCATCCTTCGATATCTTGCCATATGACTTTGAGAAATGGCCAATGAGAGTGGAGGATATTAAGAAATTATCTGCCGTTGACCACTCTCATCTAAGGTACATTTTATGGGTCTATCGAGTGGATAAAACATCACATGATCGCATCCATGTTCGTTCAACTACCATCTGTAATAATGTAATAATGTTATCACAGAGCGTTATCTTTGCTGATTAGGCATCTATCTATCTTTCGCCATCTTTCACCACAGGAATTGGCGCAAATTTCGCTAGAGCCTTGTGATGGTTGGCATCAAAAGCGAGCAGGGCCAATCAAGAACTGGACAGTTAGGAAAGATTTTGAACTATAGGGGAACCAATGATATTTGGATTTAGACGATGGAAAAAGGAATGGCTTCTATTATTAGCAATGGTGTCAAACCGATCAGCCTGGAGACTTAGCCAGCGGAGCCGGCCAAACCAGTAATGCTGAAGGTTGTTAGAAGAAGAAGAATCATAAATTTGATATATAATATTAATAATAATAATTTAATAATAATTTGATATATAATGAAAATTAAATAAAATATTTAGATGGAGAATTCAAGGACTTAAAAACGTTCTGATAAAAATGATCTGTGAAGTGACATGAAACTCTGAAGTGGTCTAATGAAGATTTGGAAAAAGTTAACAGTTCTAAGATGAACATAGTGATGGAAAGGCAGAGAAATTTGATAAAAATACAAATGGATTTTAGATGGGTTGGTTTAAGGAGTCATAATTTGACTTAAGGCAAGTTTAACAAGGCGAAACAAAACTGAACAGGTGAAGGCACATAAACAGTATGGATTAATGATAGATTGGACGAATAAATATCGCGGAATTCAACGTAACTGCAATATGGTTCGGAAAACTCTTTCTATTATAACACGAGGCTATCGAAAATATTGTAGGGTTTCAGGCTAAAATGCGATGGATCGCATTTTGTATTTTTGACTTTTTAATATCGCTCTTGCATTGCTGCAATTTTCCCCAGGCATATAAACACCCAAATAATTATCACTTTAACATTTTATCATTTTATCAAATAAATAAATGATTAAATAGTACTTTCCCATCGCTTAGAAGAATAGATTTAATTATCACAAAAAATGATCTTCAAATTAAAAAAAAAATTACTCATCTTTATGGTTTGCCTATTCTTCTGATTACTGTTTAAATAACTTTGAGTTGCTTATCTTGATTGATTAATTTAACTAAAGTGTTTAATGCAATATAACCTATGAATGTGAATAAAAATTAAGCCATTAATGGGGAATTACTTTGATAATATTAGTTAAGAAATCTTATCAAAATCTTATCAAAAATTATATGATGATAATACTTTTTCTTTTGAATGGAAACGCGGCATTAAGTGAGTTTTGCCCAAGGATTCCGTAGGAAAGGCTGAGATTCGAACCAAACATCGTCGTTCTCTATTTATCCATGTCGGAAAACTGAGCCAATATCCACGTGTATTTAGTATGTTAATGCTACCACCAAAATTAAACCCAATTTTATCACCAATTGACTTTAGGATTTATTATCGCAAAAAATGATCACATGGGAGATAAAATAGTTCATCAATATATATTACGAAATAATCCAGTCATTTTTCTTAAAGAGTCCTCACCATTACTGGTTAAACTCGTTCCGCTGGTTTGCCACATTGGACAAATATGCCAGAGAGTCCCTTTGCGATAGAAGTATAGGTGAGTCGCCAGCATCACCCGCAACCGGACATATAAAAGTAGAACAGATTCTGATGTATACAAGTAAATCTATCTATCAGATCTAGCAACTTAAAAATGCACCATATGCTTTTACTCTGACCTTGGTAGCTAGTGGAACCTGCTGAACCAGTATCTATGTGTGGGATTCAAGATGATTGAAAGAGAGCTGTTTAAATGAAGTCAAGCGTCACGGATCCGACTGCTCTATAGGAAATAAAATGGAGACCAGCATGTACAGTTGCTTCAAGCAATCCTATGGCCACAACCGAACCTACCCCACCTTTAAAATCATACATCGTTATAACTTTTTTCATAGTCAGGCTGCTTTTTAAATCCTTTACTAAAAGGCGGCGACAGCTTTAGATTTGAATGATACTATTTGGCAGCTGAACGAGTTTGGCAGGGTGTTTTTTGTTTTATAGATACAAATTTTACACTTTTTACAGGTTCTTTAGAAACAGGGAAGGTGGAAGAAGAGGAAAGAAGGAACAGTGAGGTGAAATTAGAGATGGAAGAAATGGGAAGAACGAACAGTTTTTAGATAGGAGAAGGATATAGGAGAAAGGAGCAAAAAATTATATTAATAAATGTTGGCTTATAGAGTATATCATCCGAGTTTCCAGTATTTTAGTGAAAGGATCGAGAGGATCCTAGCAAGCAATAAAATTTCAAGTTTCATTTCTCTGAAATATTTCCCCAAAAATAAAATCCTGGTAGCGCGTAGAGGATCCACTTGTATCTTCATTTCCAGTTCTTTTTTCATTTTTTCATTTTTTTCGCAAATGAAAATAATTTTTTTCTTTTCTCTAGTGAATTCTATTGAATTTGTCATGAAAAAATAATGGAGCGTCACGAATCGCATCTTTTTGTTCCTCATAAAGCGCTCGGTGAAATTTGCTCAAATATTGCGCCAGTATTTCGTTTTCTTCCAACAAAACGACGTTTCACGTCAATTTTATGTGCTATCGATAATATTGTCGTACAATATTCAGCTGAAAAATTACGGTTTATTTCGATAAGTGACGTACTTCCGTCAAAAATTCGTTGTATTGCGGCTGATAAGCGCTATGTTTACGCTGCGATTTCATCAAAAATTGCTTTATTACATTTGTCGAGGTTCGTTTTTTTTTCTTCCTTTTAATTTTTATATATTTTGTATTTATTTTATTCATTCGATATAGAATGGCTCATTGTTTTGACATTGTTTATATTTTGGATCGCCGATGTTGAAATTCGACTCGCAGCGGAGGAAAACCCACACTTTAAAAATCCTGGTCATACGAGCGATTCACCTGTAATTCTGTTCCTAAGTAATCCTTTGGTAATAATTGTTTCGCTCGAGAAGCCAGCCAGCGCAATGAGCTCATTCAGAAAATAGAGAGCGCTCTTAGATTAAATAAAAGATCTCATTTTTAATATACCACTCGACCATTCTTTTCCTTCCTCTTGGCTTAGTCTAGGTTTTACATCTTTTTAGACTTCACATTTATGGTAAAAAGTTTTTGGTTTAGGCGGACATCTGTGGTCACGCTAAATTCTTTAGTGCATCAATGTCATCAATGTTTTATCTGTTATCTGTCTGAATCATGATTAATTCTTCGAATTGAGATAGTGTTATTACTTTTTTGTTCTAAACTTCTGGTACGGTTTACTTATCATTCATTGATAGTTGCTGAACTGTGCAAATAGTGACTATAGCAAAACGATAACTATTCTTAGTTTATATCGGTTATACCTGTGTTAATTATGTTTTTGTCGGTTGGATCACTTAAAATATAAGTTAGACATTCACCTGTGCTTTCTTACCTTCGCGGGATTATATTGTCATAACATTTTGCAAATTTATAACTTCATTCCACCAAAACCTAATTCCTCACTGTCATCGGTTTCATTCCTGATTAATTTTGAAAAGCGCAAAAGTTCCGTTTTAAATGGTGGGTGAAACCTTGTGATAATTCTGAAAAATGATAAAATATATGTATATAAATGTGATTTCAAAACTTTTTACTTAAAAAAATATATTATTGTGAGAAAAGATCTTAAACACCATTTATGCCAAAAAATATTAGAATTATTGTTGTTCTAAATTATCAAATAAATCATGCGATTAAATAATAACTGTTAAAAATAATATAGCACTTTATTAAATGTTTTAATAGCATTTTCATTCATTATATTTTTATTTTGTTTATAAATTATTTCAAATGATTTATTTAGACAAGTTGAAAAATGGATAGAAGTTGGTGAAAAAATAAATTTTATGATTCCGTTTGGTGAAGTTCTTGTTGCTATTGATGAAAAAAATTCGATACATGTTATGAGTTTGGAAGATGGTGCAGAAATTGTTAAAGTTGATTCACCAGAAAATTTCGTTATAAGCGCTGCAGTACATCCATCCACTTATTTAAATAAAATCCTACTCGGTTCGAAGAATGGTTAGTTTTATGTTTTACCATTTTTTAATGTATTAATTAATTGAGCTAAAGGTAAGTCTGAAAGTCAGTTAAAACTGCAAAATTGATTTGATTTGAAAATTGATTTTAAAAGTTCAGATAAAAATCCAATTTTAAAGAAATTGAAAACTATGAATTCTTTAAAAATTAAGATTTTTTAAAAATCTTAATTTTGTTTTAATTGATTTTAATCTTTTATTTTTTCTAGCAAAGTTTTTCTTCCAGGACGAATGCGCTTAATTAATATCAAAGTCGGCAAATTAATTCATGAATTTTCAAGCGAAACGGATATAGAAATCACAGTTTTAGAAGTAACACCAGTTATAGATATAATAGCAATTGGATTTCGAAATGGGCTAATAAAATTGGTCAATATTAAATTCGATGAAACATTATTTACGTTCAAACATGATTGCGCAGTTACTTCCATCACTTTTAGGTAAAATGTTTTTTTTACTGTTTCCGAATTTTAGAAATTTTGGAAAGAAAGAAAGAAATATTTTCTTCTAATGGGGCATGAAATATAAAATTTTAGGACTTTTTTGGATAATTCTAATTTTTTTACTTTTTCTTTTTTGTCACAATAAATGTTTTTGAAATTAAATATTTTCAAAAATATGTTATTATTATTTTTTAAATTATATATTCGATTTGTTTCAAACAATTGTGAAAACAAATCGCTAAGATATATTTTTTTCTAGTAGTTGCCATTTCTAATTTGTACGGCTCAGCTAGCTACTAAGATAAGACGTTTGCAATTCTCGTCTAAAATTTAAGTATCGCGTTTAACTCTTATTGAAATGGCTATTATCAAATTTATGTTCAGAAAAGATTCTAATTCTTTAAAAAATTATATTTTATCTAAAATTCTTCCACATGTTATAGAACTGATGGAGAAGAAACTATGACATCAGCAACGGAAGCTGGTTCGATGGCCGTATGGGATTTGAATAGTCAGAAATTAATCGGTCAAGTGCCACAAGCTCATTCAGACTCGATTACAAAATTATACTTTCTGTGTAATGAGCCAATAATGGTTTCTGCTGGTTGTGATAATACATTAAAAACGTGGATTTATGATATGGGTGACAAAATGCCGCGTCAGTTAATTCTTCTTGAAGGCCATTCTAAGCCAGTATCGGCTTTAAAGTTTATTGAAGGCACCAGGTTTTTAATTTTATATTTTGTGTTTTTAATTTTATATCTGTTTTATTTATACCATTTTACCATTTTATACCTATTTTTTATTACTAAAAAATATTATTACTAAATATTTAAATATTTAATATTTAATAAATATTTACTAAATATTTTTGAATAATATTTATTTTGTTTTAGCGTATTATCATCAAGTTATGATGGAACCGTTCGTTTTTTTAATATAATTCGTGACACACATCGTCAAAAATTAGGCAATGCTGGAGTCATGTCGAGGTTAATTATGATTTAGAATTGCATTTAGATTTATCATTTTTTTATCTATATCCATTTTTATCTGTTTTATATCCATCCAGTCTTTATATCCATTTTTTACTTCTTAAACACCATAATTTCATTAAAATTTTCGCCCATTTTTATTATAATTTAGAGCAAAAGCAAAAAAATTGAGAAGAGATGTTGAATCTATCAAGCTTAATGCTGTGGTCGAGATGGATTTTGGCGTTGCCAGAGAAGCGGCATGGGACAATGTTCTTTGTCGACATGATCAACTACCAGTAGTGACTACTTGGTCCACTAGAAAGCAGAAACTCGGAAGTCATCGAGTAATAAGAATTTTTCTATCCTTAATTCATTATTTCCCAATTTTTAAAAAAAATATGGACTAATATATTTGTGATTTTAATTGTGTAAAAAAGCAAGATTGCAACTTTGGTTTTAGCCGAACCTAGAGCCTACAATTTAATTTACGTTGCAATATTTTTCTCAATTTTTTTTTTTTCTAAGGAGAAGAAAATTCCTATTAATTATTTATATTTTATATTTTTATTTTATAATTTATAATTTATTGTTTATTTTATTTAATTTTTATTTTAGTTACTTCATAAACGTTTCGTCAGGAAAGGATTATTTTTCGATGCATATGCAACTGCTATAAAGATTAGCGCTTGTGGAAACTTCGCAATTATCGGATATTCTACGGGACATATCGATTGTTTCAATATTCAGAGTGGCTTATACCGAAAATCTTTTCGGTTATCGAAAGGTTTTGGAAGAGCACATAGATCCGCTGTGAATGGATTAGCTCTCGATTTTTTGAATAAGCAAATGGTTTGTGGTTTTACTGTTACAATTAAAATTCTCTATACTTATTTTATACTGTTTTTTGCTGATGATTTTAATATTTAGGTAAAAAATGAATTTAGGTAACATTTATTCGATTTTGAGTGAAATTTAGTTTAATTTCTAATGATCAAATCTAAAATTTAGTGATAACAGTATTTTCTGGATTATTTAATATTTATGCCATAATTTTATTTTTGTTATCAAATGGTATTCTTAAGGTTTCTGGTGAGAAAGATGGAATCGTTCGGTTTTGGGATTTTCAATCTACCGACCTAATGTGTGAATTTCGCGTACCCTCTCCTATCGTTCATTTTCGTATGAATGAATGCAATTCATTACTTGCAGTAGCTGTTGGTGTGGGAGCAATTGGAATAATTGATGTACTTTGTAAGCGTGTTGTGCGAATAATAAATAATGCTCATAAAGGCAATATTACAGCGATTGAATTTTCCTTCGACGGTAGATGGTTGCTCAGTGCTTCTGATGATTGTTTGTTGAAGGTTAGCTCTCAGATCATTAACATAGTGCACTTTCCATTATAATATATTATTTTTATAATGTATTATAATATATTATTTTTGTTAGATTCTCATTACTTTTTTTTAGATTGGCTTGAAGATAACAAATATATTTTTGAAGAAATATTGCAGGTCTGGGATCTTGCTTCAAACAGTTTGATAGATGTGATGAAATTCATGAAGCATTGCACTGGAATTTCCTTTTCGCCTTCAGGTGAATACTTGGCAACTAGTCATGATGGCCAGCGTGCTGTGTTTATCTGGGTTAATAAAATTTTATTTCTTCATAATGCTATATTCAAAGTATTGCCATCTGATTATGAACCAGAAGAATCCTCTTCGCTGCCTCTATGTAGGTAATGTAATTTAATATATTTTTAAGTTTCAAGTTTATTTTAATAAAATTTATCATTATCAAATTTAAATTTAAATTCTTAAAGTGGAAAGTTGCAGGAATTATGAAAATAATGAAATTGAAGTGGAAAATGAGGACCAGCCAATGGAGGTTGATGATTCTTTCCATGAACCTATAACGCAGGTAACTTACTGATTAAATAATATTAAAATAACAATATTAATATTAAATGGATCCTGAATTTGAAATTTTCAGATCGATGATCTCATTACTTTATCTGGTTTCGCACCTTCTCGTTGGGCAAATTTATGGAATATCCGTTTAATAAAGGAACGTAATAAGCCAATAGAACCTCCAAAGAAGCCAAAAGCTGTTCCTTTTTTTCTTCCTTCTGTTTCAACTCTTAAAGGCTTTGAATTTGAAGATTCAAGCCCAGCCAGTGAACAGAATGTTCGTCAGAAGATTATCATGGCAAAGAGGAGTACGTTGGAAATAGAATCCAGTTTTGCACGTGGATTATTGAGGTTGTAAATCAGAATTTTTTGTTACTTTTGCTCAAATTAATTTTTTTTGCTTTTCACATCTTATTTATTTTTTTATTTTTGATAGGTCGACCACTAATGATGATTTGTTACAAGCTTTTAATTCTTTGAAGTCTATGAATATTTCATCGATCGATTTCCAGATCCGTGCCTTGCCGATTAGAGTAAGATTTCCGGCTTATTTTTACTCTTTGCCATTTCCGTTAAATTAGAAATCTATTTTTATCTATTATTATTTCATTCAGTAATTATTCATTCAATAATTTTTCAGTTAAATTATATATTTATTTTTTCTCCACTTTTCAGGCCCACATTCCATTTCTACAGATGCTCTTATCAGTTTTAAAAAGTCATCAAGATTTTGAACTCGTTCAGTCCTTTTTAGCTTCATATCTTACAATACATTATGAGACGTTGTGGAACAGTAGTGAATTATCTGGTGATGATGATGATAAAATAACAGAAATTTTGATAGAATTGTGCGATGAGGAAAAAAATGCTAGTTATCTTGATGAATTAGTACTAGAAAATATTGCCGTTATACAATATATTAAATCTGCCTTATTATGATGTTTCATATTTTCATCAAAAAAAAAAATATCAAATTTTCAGATACCACTTTTTAGCAATAAAAAATGTTCGATTGTTTTCATTTTTGTCACTTTTCCACTGTTGTTTTAATTTTTATATTTTATAATTGTATATATATATATATATATATATATATATATATATAATGAAAAAAATCATCATATATACCGCAAATAATGATAGTAGATGACAATTCATTCTTTATTTTCTTACGATAAATTATTTTATTTTTTTTATTTTTTTTATTTTTTAAATTTTATTTTTTTCTTTTTCTGGATAAATTTTAATTAAATAATATAAAATTTTGGAAATGAGAGAATTATATGTGATTGAGAATGGTAGTGGAGAGGAAATATAATTGTATTTTCAAATTGAAATCGAGGAAAAGATTGTTTTTGTCGGCAAAATTTGAGCATCGCGAAAATTGTTTGATTAAAATTCGTGGATTAAATTTTTCGACATAAAAAAAATTTTATCTTTTAGCTGATTTTATGAGAAAGTGAAAATTTCAACACATATAAATTTTTTTCGTTTCTTTGTTTTTTTTTCTTTCTTTTAAGAAATGAAACAGAAAAAAAATAGGCATTACAAGGCAAATTTAATTTGTGCGCTTCGAACAATTTTCTTCAATCACGACGAGTCGAGTAAAATTTATATTTCCCAATAATTATTTATTTTAAATGTCTCAGATAAATTTCAGCATATAAGCTTCATTATTTTTTTTTAATATTTTAATTTTAATAAATATAAATATTAAATATAAATAGCTAGAAATAAGTGATAGTTTCTGATAAATTATAATCTCTTTCGTTATCAGTTAGGAGAATCTTTATGATAAATATTTCTCGTAAAAAGCTCATTTGTAAGATTCAAATTCGTATTTCTCGAACTGATTGAGAAATTATTTCTGTTATTGGCATTATTCTAGCTAATATGAATAATTTTGCATATTAAAATGAATGAATCCTTTGGGAAGAGAGAATCTTTTTCAGAAGTCTCGTCGATCGTTTTGATAAAAATTTTATTAAAATCTGCTGAAATTTTTACAATGTCAGAAAGTATTTTCATTTTTCAATGAGAAAAAATTTCTTTTTTCTTTTCGAACTTAATTATTAATAAAAATTCGATTCGAAATCTAAAATAAATATTCTATTTTTAAATGAATTTAACAAGCGATAATTCGCTTTTTATCACTGTTGAATTTTAATGTGGAATATAAATTTATTGAAAATTCTTTTTTTATTCAAATATTTTATTTTTAAATATTAAATTAAATGTTATCTTTTTTTTCTTGAAATAATCAAAGATTAAATAATCAAATAACCGAAGAAATTGCAGATTTAAATTTGCAATTTTTCTATAATTTTAAATAGTTTTTTTTAATTCATTTTTATTTAAAAGTTAAATTTTGATAAAATCTTAAATATTAAAATATATTACTATTAAATAATAAATTTTTTTAGATTTTAATTATATTTTTGTAAATTTTAAATATTTAATGAAATTTGAATACTAAAAAATTTTTCGGACATTTGAGACAAACAAACTACTATTGCATATAATTAATTGGATTAACCACAGACATGAGAAATTTTTATTTTCATTGATAATACTTAAATTTAAAACAAAATTTCCACAAAGAATGTATAAAATTTATTGTTTAATTTATGAAATACACAAAATATATAAAATATATTTTAATATTTTAAAAGAGATAGTTTGTAAAAATCTTAAATAAACAAATATTATTTCGTCAAATATGGAACTTTTTCTCTCATACAACCGTAGTTGGTTACGACTCAGGTCCTCTACCAGAGGTTCGGGAGATCGAGGATTTATTGTGCAATATCTTAGCTGTTCCTAATAGTGCGCTCTTCTGGTAGTAATCTCTGATGTCGTTTCAGGAATTCGCTGGAACCACTTTTCTATTTTAATAACAATTCCAAGCATTCCAATTATCACTGGAATTACTTTGGCCTTTATATTGTTCTTATATTGTTCTTTTTATATATATTTATATATATTTTTCAAAATTTTTTTTAAAAAATTTATTTTACGATAGCAGAATATTTAAAATTGACGATAAATAAATTTTTATTTTGCTTTTATTTTTATTTGAAAAATTTATTCATTTTTTTTCTTTGTTTCTGTCAATTTAGATTTTTAATCGAAAATGAAATATTTTATTAGATATAATGAGCTTATTATTCCATTTATTTTCATTTCTTAAAATTTATTTTTATAAATTTCTCATTTTATGATTAAAAACATTTTCTATTAAGTCATTTCTTGTTTTTTTTAATATTTTTTTTTAATAAATATTTTATAATATATAATTTTATAATACATATAGCTTTATAATATATAAAATATAATCCTTTTATGCTTTGCACCTAATCAGTTAAAAAATTTTAAAAATAATAAATAATATAAACGAAAGAATGTCGAAAATATCAATAAAAAATATAATAATAATAATACAGATTTACTTATTAATAATTTAGCAAATAGCGATATTTCTTTTCGCTATTCAATTCGCTAACAAATATTTAATTTCAAAAATATCGAAAAAGAAAAAGGTCGACACAATTAAAAGAAATTATTTTTATTCAAAATCACTAAAGTAAAGTAAAGTGAAGCAATAAATATAGATGTATCGTCGAAATGATTCGTTTTTTTGCGGGGTTTTATATTAATAATTAATAATATTAATAATTAATATCGATATTGAATAAATTTGAATTATTAAAATGATTTATTTCGATTTAAAGTTTGTTAGAAGTATAAAAAGTAAAGTAATATAAAAGTAAACACAATCAAAATTTCTTGAATAAACTTTTCATATTAGTGAATTTTGTTCAAATTCTAATTAAATATATAATTCTGTTTGCTTTATAATCTCTATTTTATAAAATGATAAATATTAATATTAATAAAATTTTATAAAAAAAATTAAATTTTTATTTTGCTTTTATTTAAATTCGAAAAATGAATTCATTTTTTTTTTGTTTCTGCCAATTATTTTCGATTTTTAATTGAAATTGAAATATTTTATTAGATTTAATGAGCTTATTATTTCATTTATTTTCTTTTTATTTTCATTATTTTTCATAAATTTTTCTTTTTTATTATTAACGAAAATCGTTGTTAAAAGAATTTCTGTTAGGTCCTTTCTTTGTTCACTTCACATCTAATCAGCTGAAAAATTTCTGAAATTTAGATTTTTCTTGTTTTTTTTTCTTTTTACGAGTAATTCGGCCAACGCACTTCGTCGGACGGCAGTGACGCTGAACAGAGAAATTAAAAGGATATAGAATGGGCTCTTCGGGGAGTTGTGGCTTAGTTCGGAGCGCTGATAATGAGATTCTATGCCCAGCGAATCTGTCTTTCAAAAAATCCAAGCGAGACTGGCAACTCCTATCGTTATGTGTCTCATTGGCAAAATTCTCATCTGGCCCGGCAAGCCAACAGACGGAATCTTATTAACACTGATGACACTAAATAATAAAAAATTAGTTAAATAAATTTAAATTTAAAAAATAAAATAAAATTTACTCCTAAAATAAAATTATTATAGAAATACGAGAATACAAAAAATATTACAAAATAAACGATGCAAAAAATAGAATTTTTTAAAATTTATAATAAGTGCTGCTTTACTCACAAATATTTTCTTATATTCTCTAATTTACGTTTATAAATTTATTTATATTCCCATGTGATTTTATAAGGAAATGTTTGTAGCGATGTTGTTGAATGAATTAGCGAGGGAGGAAGCATATTTATATTTATGAATATTTAACTATTTAAATATTTACTTATTGAAAATTAGTTTTACAAGCCAAATTCCTTGGATAAGCTTTTTATTTATTAATATTTTAAAATTTAAATTTTAAACTTTTATTTACGAAAAAATTTATTATTTTTATAATTATAATTATAATTTACTATAATTTAATAGAAAAAAATAAATATTATATTATTGGCATAAAAATTTTGATGAATTTTAACGTTTTAGGCGTATTTCATGCAAAAATCTTTACACATTATTTTCCTTTAAAAATGGCAATTTATAGAGAAAAATTGATTAAATCTATCAATGTTCATCTCTTTTTTCATCCAATTTTTTTTTTCGTTTTATATTTCAATTTAATTTTTCAAAAATTTATTTTAAATTTTGAAAAAATAAAATCTGAAAGTGTTGACATTTTACTTATTTATGTTCATCAATAGCGGTCGCTCACGCAAATTACTTGCCGATTGTTCTATGATAAGAATGTTGTGAACGAGAAAGAAAATGATGAATGCTCTAAGCTTCAAGTAGTTCAATTCACTATTTTTTTCAATATTATATAAATTTTTTCTTATTTTTTTATCCTTTATGCGTGATATAAGTTGGCTTCGCCAGTTTTGGCTCATCTATTAGAGGCCTAGCAACTTGAACAACACATTGGCATATATATATATATATATATAGAAGAGACATATATAGGTTTAGGAAACTAGCGATTTGCTTACCATAGATTTTTAATACGGTATTCTTTTCTGTAGTTCCTTATTGCCGAATTCAATTTTTCTTTTTTTCAATATTTTAGGAAATGTTTGTTTAGAAGAATTATTATTTTTCGTAGCCTTAATCGAAATTTTCATTGAATCACCCACTTAAATTCTTCGCCAAAATACATCAACATCACAGGGATGGTGACAAGTCGATTCTTATCAGGAGCTGCGGATTGGACCTATAGTAAGTAACTTGGCATTAACCGTAAATGTGAGGAAAAGGCCCAGTCGATTATTTTGTCTCTATAGAATTTACTATATAATTTTCTTTAAATTATTCGTCCGAATTTCTATCGAATGATGATCGAATAGGAGTCTTTTTACGCAGTCGTTCATAATGATAGATGGAACTTGTCGTTGCATCAGTGTTGAAATATATTGAGAAGCGATCTTTCTATAGCACAAAATTGTTTTTTAATCTCCAAAAATTATCTTAATTTATGTTTTGGCATACATATAATATCCATTTCTCAACTCCTGTGGGTACCACTAGTCATCCTCAACCTCGGGCTCTTTAATATAGGCCTGGAAGTTTGAGAATTCTGCGCAGTATTGGTTTCTAATAGTATTTTTTCTGGACAAAGATCTCTGATGCTGTTCTTGTTTAAACCACTTTTCTAGTTTAAAAGGCATAATCCCTAGTGTTGTTATTATCATTGACCTTCAGTTCCCCTTTCAGCATGTGACATTTCTCTAGACTTACTTATTCAGGCATTTAAGGTACTCTTTCATTCCTTTGCTAAATAGAAAAATTATTTCATAAGCAATATTTTTTTCTTTCCATTCCATTATTTCATAAATAAAATTTTGTTTTATTTTTTACTTGGCGAAGATGATGGCTAATAAATAAAATTAATTTTGTTTAAATTTTTTACACTGATTTCTGTTAATTTTTATTTTAAATTAAGCTAATAAAAATGTAAAAATGTAATTTAACGTGTTTTTTTTTAATGTTAGACGTCGGCTAATCTTTATTATCAATAGATCTTTGTTCGATTTCTTCTTATTTTCATTAAATTTTTTATGTTCAGTCTTCCATAAAATTTTTATTTTATTATCGTAAATATTAATTACTTTACTATTTCATCATTAATTATTATCATTATTTCTATTTTATCGACAATATTTTTAAATATTTTCATGAGAAATGGATAGCATAACCGAACTGATTTTTTCTAGTTCTCCTTTGACCTTCACATTTCTATTTCCTCTTTCAACTGGCGTCAATCCATTTGAATGGATTATGATTTAGATTATCATGTTGAGCTAAGACTTCGAACTTTGTTCCTGGCAGGAAACCTGAAATTCACGAAAATTCGAATTTATTTAATCATATTAATAGCTAATGGAGTAGCATAAGTGGTCGTTACTAATTATACGTACTTTTACTTGCAAGCTTTATTTCTCTTTTTATTTATCCATAATAACCAAAAAATGGCTTTAAAAAAACTCAATAATAATGCCTAATTCAGCTTCGCGCTTTGAAGCGGATACAAAATATATGTGATATCCGTTAAATACAATACGTGATGGTGATGTTGGCGATTCACCTGTATTTCTATCACCAAGGGACTCCCTGGCATATTTATCCAATGAGATAAGCCAGTGGAGCGAGTTTAACCAGTAATGGTGAGTACTCTTAAAGTGATGTCCGTATGTAGTTAGTGATAATTAATATCCGTGGTAATTCACTTATATTTCTATCGCCTTCAAGTGAATCTCTGGCAAAATTGGTCTGCATCGACGCGATAGACTAGCGAATCTAATCAGAAATGATGAATACTTTTAGAAAAAAAGAAAATAAATTTAAATAATTATATTTGTTATTCCATTGATTTCAATTTTATTTGCTATTGAAAATATTTTTTTATGATTTATTTCTCGTTTCATGAAATCTTTCATAAATATTTTGCTTAAAAATCTATTTTAATAGCAAATCCATAAATTGTTTTATTATTATTCGGCCTTTTCCTCGCTCTATTATCTCGATTACAAGCCTCTAATTAAATGAGAATATTTTATATTGAAGATCTGTCAAACACTTTTATAGGATGGGTGCTTTCATTTTCATTATTCTAAGTAGTTTACCAGTTTTTCGTGTTATTTTCTTTCGCATATCAAAATTTTTTGTTAATTTATTCTTTTATTCGCATAAGTCGCAAAAGCTGTTCAAAAAACCGAATGATGCTGTCGACTCACCTGAATGGTCACCAAGGGATATTTGCCTAGCCTTCACGTTTAGAATGAGTCTAATAAGTAATGGTGAGGGCTCTTAGAAAAAAAAAAGAAAAAGTTGCCCATGAAAAACTTTGAAGAAAAAGTTAAAATTAATAGAAGTGGCATATGCTCTGTTGAAAGGTATTAATTAAGTGTGTATTACTCTGATTAATCTAATCTCTTTCCCTCAGGTAATGCAGCTCGGTTTGACAGGTATCAAGAAAATGTATAAAAATGAAATACACGTTTGAACATACTAATTTGATTTATATCACAAACTAATGACGGTAATTTTTCTTCTTTTTCCTTCTAATTAATTGTACCATTAGTTCTAAACGTGAAGCATTTTCGCGAAAAAATAGTACCAATTGAAAAAATAAAAAGATGGAAAAAATTTTCACTCAATATTTAATTATTTTATGAGAATTTCACTTTTTACTTGCTTTATTTTACTCGATAGTTATTGGTAAAATCTTGTATAAATTATTCCTTAGAATAGTATGTCGTATATCATTTTTTCCAAAGACCACCAAGATAATGCCATAAAAAATTCAAGGATCCCCAGTGTAATATTTTCTCTTTCTTCAAACCTTTTTATGCTTTGAAAAGAAATTTTTTCAAAAAATTAAGAATATTTATCGAAATTTTCTACTTAAATGCTTTGAATGAACATAATAAAGCATAGAAAATGGCTCAGTAAGTTGTTGTTCAACTGCGAGCGCCGACGCTAAGGTTCGATTCCCTGCAGGAGTAAAGTTGTACAAAAACCCTGATGCTGGTGACTCATCTGTATTTCTATCGCCAAGAAAATCCCTGGCATATTTGTCCAGTGGAGTCGACAAGACAGTGGAGCGAGTTTAACCAGTAATGGTGGGAATTCTTTAAAAAAATAAATAAAGCACATAAAATAATCATTAAAAATGATTTATTAACATTCAAATAAAATAGGGATAAATAAAATTAGACTCCCACGAATCTCCCGAGAAGCGTAATAGACCTCCGTGGGGAGAAGCCAGTTTGGCGACTAATGGCTTAGGCAAAGTCGTTTTTTTTCGTGAAATACTATTTATATTATTTGCTGTTATATATTATTTCAGGACATAATCGTGCTAAGAATGTATATTTTTGGAGATGACGATAAATTTTTACAAAAAATTATTGCTATTTCTAATGACTTACAAGGTGAAAAAGGATATATTATAAGTAAGTTAATTATTATTAAACTTATTTCGCTAGTTTCGTGATCGTAAGGCCAAAAACAGTTGATAAAAGACGATTACAGTAAAAAGTGGTTCGGTAGTGCCGAACTTGGATAGTGTAAAAAAGATTCAAATATAGGGCGTTTGATTGTCTTTTTGTAGGTTTAAAGGTCATTTATTTATAAATACGCTGGCAAAATGACTTATTCTACCAATGAGTGGTACTTTCAAATCTCGATATTCCTTAATTCGCCAATTCCCAATTGCGTGTTCTCTTAGCAGTTCCTATTCTCGTCGTTTAGTATTTTGTTCCTTCGTATTTCGTGTTCTTTGAATAAAAGCTATAAAAATGCTATGGAAACTATAAAAAGTGCCAGCAAGAAGATAAAATTATTAGAAAATTGTAATTGATAAAATGAAAAATTAAATTTCGATAATAGGACAAGAAATATGATAGAATTTAAAATAGGTGGTATTGGAAGAAATATAGAGGAAATCTGAAGGATCGTTAAGAAAAAAATCAGAAAATCAAAAAATCAGAAAAATCATTAAGAAGTTTAACGAGTTAAAAAGGGATTATGACAGAAAGGGTTTAGTTGAGAAGGGGTCTAAATAGAGAAATGATTGCTATTTTTGATTAGTCTAACTCAGCTGGCCAAAAATATAATTTAAATTTTTGATAATTTGATAATTATTTTTTGATAATTGAAAAGTTCACATGAAGATTGAATTACAAGTGAGTAGACAAGACTACCTAGATTTTTGATAAATATATTTAATTCTTATTGGACTGAAATTTTAGCTGATTGAAATTTTTCAATGTTTCAAAACCTATTGATCCAATTAATAAAAGTACAAAATTAATTCTTTTTTTCCAAATTTTTCTAATTTTTATCAATTTCTTTCTAATTAAATTTTATTTACAGAAAATAGTGACGAAATTCTGCATCGATGCAATATTATTTATACGCTAACTTCAATAAATCTCGATGCTATAAAAAAAATTATTTCATATACAAATGTGAGAATTTCTATTTAAATAAATAAAGTAATTAAATTATTAACTTTTATAAGTTTTTTGTTTTTTTTTTTAATGATGAACAAATAATTTCACTGAATAATTTTCCAAATTAAATTTCCTTTAATTTACTTAAATAAATTTTATTTAAATTCGTTGTTTTGTTATCGCATTATTTATAAATATAATCAAATCATTAAGAATTTTACCAATTTTAATTTTTTCTGAAATAGAAATGGTGATAATCTGTGCCATTTCTCGTCAAATGATTGATAAGATTTGATAAAATTTAGGATATTTTGTGGAACATTAGATAACTGCATAAGTTAATCCAATGCCAAATTCCACTAATTCATAATTATTTTTTTTAAAATTTTCAAATTTTTCGTAAAACGAATAATTAATAAATAATTTAAATAACAAATAATTTGAAATAATGCATTGCTTTCTTTTTGTATTATTCTTTTCTATTTAATATCTATTTTTTTGTATTTATTATATTTATACCTAATTGTTATACTTATTATTTACTATTGTTATCATTATTAATAAATTATTATTATTATTAAATTAGAATTTTTTTTTTAGAATGAAAATATTTTGATTCTCGTCAAGGAAGAATGGACTAAAAATGAAGTTGAACGAATCGATGCGTTAATTGCTGAAACAAAAGCTTCGAAAATAGAATCCTTAAATGGAGAATGCAATAGATTAATGTTTGTTTTTTGTAAAAAAAAAGAAAGAAATATTCCATATTGAATATAAATTTCCGAAAAAAAGCATAATTGTCGTTTTAATAATTTTTATTAGTGATAATTTTTCATATTTTTCTCGTTTTTTTTCTTTCTTCATATCTATTGGTAACGAAAAGTATATATAAAATATATTAATAACCAATAAAATGTCAAAAATTTATTTTAATTTATTATTTGTGAAAATAAATTTGAAAATTTTAAAAATATTTTTAGCTCTCATAATAGATAAATTGATAACTAACTGATAATTGTTTGCTCTGAAAAAATTGTTTTCTTCATTTTCGATGAAAAATTTTTTATTTGATTATTTTCAAACGAATATATTTCTTTTTTTGTCAAATTCATCTATTAACGAATTGATTAATTGAGAAAGATTTGATAAGAATTGATTTAAAAAAGTGGTTTCAGGAATTTGGCGCAGTGCCGATCTCGTGATGAACGTATTAACTTGTTGACGCATTGGATAGAAAAAAGTGATTATCGGCATTATTTTATCACGGGAAATTCACCAACAATTAAAGTATTTAACATTTTTATTTTTGTATTTTTTGAATTTAAATTTCTTTTCTGCATTTCTATTCTCTTAAATAGCTTTTTGATGAGTTCTTCGCACCTTAGGTGCCAATGAAAGTAACCAAATCAACCAACTGATGAATTTTGATTGGATGAAAGAGAAAATGATTTATATCTTTTTGTCGAATTTTTTTCGCAATTTTATTCATTGAGAGAAAATTTATAATTTTTAAAATAAAATTCCAATTATTGCTATGTTTTGCCTTTGGTAATTAATTTTCATCTTTTCGGTTTATTTAAAAAAGATAAAATTTAAAAATAATTTTGACAATTTTTGATTTTTCTTAAAGTATTTAACTTGAATTTTCATATTCTTCAGGTTTTAAACTTTTTCAGTCTGAAATTTCTTCAATATTAGGTCAAATATATAAATTCGAACATCAACCGCAATGCAATTTAACAGATAAACCACCGGTAACTCTCCTTTTTTTAAAAAGCAATTGTAAAAATTCTAGTAGTAATAAAAGTGATAATATAAATAATACAGATAAAATTGATAATAATAATAATGATAATAGTGATAATAAATAATAAGTAAACTTCGGCAATTATAAATATTTGTAAAAAACCATCGAGTAATTTATTTTATAGAAATATATTAGCGATAATTTTTTAAACTTTTAAACTATCAACAGCTGTTTTTTTTATGGAATTTTTTTTTAATTTTAGATCTTCCATTTTTACATTTTAGCCGCTTCATTGGTCAAATTTTCCACGCGAAGATGAACTTCAGATAACATTCAAATTTAATTTTCCACATAATTACTTTGTGAATGACGATTTAGAAACTATTATCAATCATTCAAGTGAAAGTTTCAATTGGAGTTATATTTATAAATGGACGAATGGTGCACTGTTTAGGGAGAAAATTGTTAGTAATTGAAAATTGTAATTTAATGAAAATTCTAAAAAATACTAGCAAAATCGTTTGCAATAAGGGATTTATATTTTTCCTCAGTGAAAATAAATGAATAATAAATCGCCGTTAGCGCTGAGAATTTTAACACAATCTTAGCGATTTATCATGAAAAAAAAAATATCCAAATCCAAGTGAAATCCAAAATGTTTCCAAGCAGTTTTTTGTAAACCGAAACAGCCTTATTTTAGTGGTTAATTGAAGAATCAACTAAGCAAAACAGAATGATTTATAGTAAAATAAAAGTAAAGAGATAATAAATGAAAAATTGGAAAAGTTTTTAATAGATCGCAAATTTATTTATTTAATAAATAATCAAATTAATTGAATTGCTAAAACAGTCCACTATTTTTGGTTAGTTCTTGCTCTGTAGGCTTTTTAGATGCGACAAAAATTTTACAAGAGAATTACTTAATGGATGAATATAGATGGGTTACCAGTACTATATAAATTTTCTATATAGACTTTACATCTACCAAGAATAGAACTCTTTCATCGACTGAGATGAGAATAACAGCTTATTGCGCCATTCCATCTTTTCATTTCTAGTAAAATTTAATCAAAACATAAAATTTTTCTCTAAAATATTAATAAAAATTTAAATTAATTTTTATTTTAAAAAAATGAAATTTTATGAAAAATTTGGAATTTTCTATTTAGAAACCATATTTGTTTGTGAATATTCTTATATTTTTTGTAATGAAGATAAGATGAAGATAAGACTTCTAAGTTTTAATCGTTAAAAAAATTCTAAATGATAGACAAAAATTGGAATTGTTAAACATCTCGTGAATATTTTGGAAATATCGGGACGAGTTGATCGAGCCGAACTTGACGATGAATTCGAAAATATGCCAATGAAAGCCGTTTGGCCATTCCTTGCAATTGTTCTCCATGCAGCAATTTCTTATTTGAATGGAATTAATTTACCTTATCAGGTAATTTCTAAAATTATTAATATTCCTTGGTTCAAATATTTATAATATTTTTAAATATTATTTTTTTTTAGTTGTCCATATTACCAATTGGTGATTTATTTTATACGAAAAATGCGATACCACCACGATCGTTCGACATAACACAACTTCTCGTTTCAATTGATTTATTTCAACGAGTTTCATTTCGATTCAATGAGGAATTATGCGATCTACAACTACAACAACTTTTCAATTGTTTGTTTATTTAAATCCTCTTTGGATTTTATTCGTAAAATCTTTTATAATGAGTTTTATCAGCCATTATCAGCAATGAAAATGATAGTATTATCAGTTGGAAATTGTAGTACTGGGCTGTCAGGTAAACTCATCGTTCTTAAGTTGTCATTCTTACGAAGATTAACGAATTCAAATAAACCAGAAATGTGATTGTGGAAAATATGAAAATCACAATGCATCATTTAAGTCTATCTTTTATCATTTTTTCCCTAAATTTTTTCCTAAATCTTCTCCTAAATTTGATACCGTAATTAATTGTCCTAACTTTCCTAATTTATAAATGAATAATTCAAAAACTTATCTTCGTTCTTCTTAAAATTGTTTTTGAAAAAAAAAATCGCATCTAAAATATCTTTCATTTCCTTTATCAAAAGAGGACAGTCAAATAGAATATAAAGCCCCTCATCATTCATATTATAAATAATAAACACTAATGAGATGTAAAAAAAAAATTATGAAATAAATGATAAAGATAATGATAATGGCAATAGTGGTAATGGATTGATAAAATAAATCCGAAATATTATCGGCTGAGATGGTGGAAAAAGAAATGGCTTCCATTAGTTTATAGATATGGCATCGGGTCGAGCGGTTTAAGAAGGTTTTAAACCTTTATAGCAAGCAAAGCCAGTAAAATAATGCGATTTACTAGGCGAAGAAGAGATGATAGGGAAATAAGTATATAAAAATAATAAATTAAATTGCTAATTCACCTATCCTTAATATTACTAAATAAAATTTGGAAAAGTATTATTTAGCTTTTTTTCCTTTTAAAACTGAAAGTTTATGTTATAATAAATTATTTTTAGTATGTAAAACTGATTTATGCATAAGCTTAAAAGAGTAAATCGTAGTCCAATTCAAGGAAATATAAGGCTTTTTTCATTTTTATAAGTAAATTAGCCATTTTTTTTCAAAAAACATTCATTTGAGAAAGAATAAAAATTTTAAAGATTTATGAGAGTAATAAGAGGCAATAGAGGCAATTCATGATTCGATTATTTTTAACGCTAAAGATAATATTAATGGTTTTTTCCTTAATTATAAATATTTATACATTCCTTCAAAGGAACATGAGAAGTTAGAGAAATATTAAAAGAAAGGAAGAGGAACTAGAGAAGTTGTGGATACTACGCAGAACCTCGATCTCCCAGGTCTCTGGTAGAGATCTAGTTGAGATTGAGGATGACCATAACCGCCCATAAGGAAATGAGAGAAAAGTTATGAAAATTTTTTTCAGCCAATTCACAGCCAAAAACAATCGATAGTTTAGTAAAAGATAGGCCAGTACGACAACTGAAACCGACCAAATCGAATCTCGACATTTGCAATTCCAATTCATTAAGTGTATCGCATGGTGCTGCTGCAAATAAAGGTCGTCGAGTTTCATTTGGAACGATTAAATGTTTTCCAGAACAATATGCACCTGCATTACAAGACCAAGAAACGGTAAACGATGTTTTAGTTATCTAAAAGTAGAAGAAAGAAATTTTTTTTTTTTTAATAGGCTGTCGGCTAAATGGGGCAAAAACAATTCTTAAACTTAAGCTCAACGAATATGCTGAAAGAGTACCAATGAGCACCAAATTAGAAATGGTATATGGTGCCTTTTTGTAAGAATTAAAATTTAAAATAAAAATCATAAATCTCAAATATAAAAAAATGCCTTCAGGAAAATGATGAAATTGGAAGTCCCATACAAGACAAGAATTCCATAAATGACTTGGCTGAAAAAATCATAGATAACACATTGCAAGAACTTGAACTTTGACATGGCTGAAAGAATTTGTCAATTTGCGAGCAAAAATTTTAATTTGTCATCATTTAAAGTAAATGAAGAGCTTGAAATCCGTGTTCTTGTGTATTTATAATTAATGATCATCGTTATGGAATTTTTATAGAATTTGTGGAAGTTTAATTTTTAACAATCGAGAAAACTGGAAAATTCTTTTTTATAAATAAATTAATAATTAATTTATGAGTTGTACTTTTTATAATGCTGTATTTTAAGATTTAAAATTTATAAAGCTATGTTGTTTTCTTTTTTAATTTTTTAGATTTGTTTGAATTTTTAAATTTAACTCGTTGAATTTTAAATTTCAAATTTTTTTTTTCTATAATTACAAAAAAAAATTCTTAGCATAAATAACCCAATATTTTGGTACCATTTTTTACCGTGTATAGAACTGTATAGAACAATTTTGGTTAATGTTTAACCATTCGATTTTGGTACCACATTAATCGTCTCATCTTTTGGAATGCGTGCAATCTCATGAGAAATGAGAATATATCTGCTTCGGTTTGGACCAAATATTATAACTTAGCTAGATGAACGTAAATTTCCCATAAATGCTTGGAGCTCTTTGCAATTTTATCACTGCTATGGCTCTTAATTATTATATTTTCATAAATTTCAAATATAAAATTTCATATATAAAATAATATTCGTCCTTTGCATTTTCTAATGTATTTTGGCAGTTTCACTAATGTCACTTGCAATATATTACAAATTTATTTATTATTATTTATTTATTTATTATTATTATAAATATTTATTATTTTATGCAAACAGCTCTAAAATCCACGATATTTCTTATATGATAGGCAACTTAACCTTGTTGCCAGCGAAGCCATCCTAATCGGTAATATTGATAGTTGCTGGAAGAAGAAGACAGAGAACCTAAATGATATCCTTTAATAAGATTTAGAAAAATTCAATACGGCAATTAAGTACGGTTGGTTTCAGAAAAATCAAATTTAATTATTTATGGACAAATGTCAAATTCATTTAAATCTCTCAATTTATTGTAAATCAAGATTGATATTGTATGATTTTGATATTTCATTTGGAAATAGGAAAATTTTTAAAAAACTAATTTTCACTTTCGAAATTTAATAAATTTATACTTCAATAAATTTTAAATTATAAAAATGAGAGAGTTAATTAATTTAAAATATATAAAACGAATTAAAAAAAAAAGGTTTTTTGTCGCCGAATTGCAAAAGCAAAAGCTACTTGTGAGATCCACTTTCCAGGCTTATTGGGCTTCTACCAGTGGAATTTTTGTTGCATCGTTGAGTCGTTAAAGGTTGTTACTAGCTATATCATGGAATAAATAGCTGCTTTTGGCGACTCGTCCAACTATCTATTATTTATATCCATAATTGTTGACGAAAAATTGATGATGTAATATTCTAATTTGATACCTTCAACTTTTCTTCTTCATTAAATTTTTTTTAAGAGCCCCTCATCATTACTGGTTAGACTCGTTTCGCTGACTTGTCGCACTAGATAAGTAAGCCAGCGATTTCCTTAACGATAGAAGTGCAGACAGTATCACCTGGATTTTTGTAATAATCCACTGAACCAATCCACTGAGGTCCCTTTAATCATAATTATAATTAATTCGTGCTGATTGGCTGATAAGTTAATTCGAATCTAATTTCACGAATTGTATATATTTGTATAAAATGTTTTAAAAAACGATTGAAACGATTAAATATTTTATTGAAGTTAGCAAAAATTATATTGAATATTAAAGTTGACAATGCAGAAAACACTTCAATGAATTAATTAATTAATTTTTTTGCATGAATAATATTATTATAAATGTTATTTGTGTTCCTTCAACCATTGGTATCGCAAAAATGGTATTAACGAATTCGCGGTTAAAAATCTTTTTTCAAGTTCGGTTGAAATCGCTGAAAAGAAAATAAAATTTTTATTTTTTATTATTTTCTTAAAATAGAAAAAAAAGTGTTGAAATTAAAATGAAATGAAAATTATTATTTATTTATTTGATGAAAATGCCATAGAAACGTCAAAAAAATTTAATACTTTTGAATTGATGAAAGTGTTTTCGAAAACTATAAATATGATTTTTTAAAAATATTTTTTAATAGCACTTTTATTTAGCTAAAAATATTAGCAATTTTATTTATGTGACAAATTTTATCAGATGGAAATATCTAAAAATAAAAAAACTTTTTTAGCATAAAAATCGATATGAGACGAAAAATATAAATAAGTATTATACAATAAAATTTTAAATTCGCTTAGATATCATATTCATTCTATAAAAAAAATATAAATTCTATAAAAAAAAAATGATTCTATAAAAAATAAAAAAAAATAATAATTCTATAAAAAAAAAATGATAAATGATAATTTATGGCAATTTTTTTTCGTTAGATTCAATCTATTTTCATCGATTCGAAACTTATTAGTAGTTGTAAAGTTTACTTCCTGGACGAAATTCGGCTGGAACCAATTGATAAGCAAGATACGGTAACGCTGAACACGTGCAGTAAAAAGCGATCAGCAACAAAATAAATGGCTTCATTCTATTTCTCTCTATAGATAGCTTATGAAAATAATAGCCTAAAATAAATGAAGTAATTAAAGATAAATAAATAATTGCCTGGAATAAATTCAAAAATAGAACTTACTGAATAGATGAAAAACTGGAAAAAAAAATATTATATTACAATTTCCACTGTTATTTTGTTCAAAAGTCTAACCTATTCCTTGTCTTTTGAGTCTTTAAAAATTATCAAAGTTATCGTTCTAAGCGAATAATGAAACAGTAATAACTCAAATAACAATAATAATTTATAATGTATCATAAATTCTGTTTAATTTATTCGATGATTGCAATTTTCTTGAGATGAAAATCTTTTATCAGTTATCTTTTATCAGTTAATCTTTTATCTTTTATGGGAGATCAGTTTCGCTGGAAATCTTGTATCAGTTATCTTTTATCAGTTAATCTTTTGTCTTTTATGGGAGATCAGTTTCGCTGGAATCAGCCGATCATCTCACCAGCCGACACTCCACCGTTTGCAAAATATTTGCTGTGGTTGGTCTTTCTCAGGCAATTTATAGACAAAATAGGATTTATGATGTATATATCTCTCATTATTTAAGCAAATAATGCAAACGCTTTTAAAGATTGATAATTATAATTCCTAT